CAGCGGTGTATATATCACATTTTTTATATCAATATCTATCTATCTATATATATCCTGAGGACCATCACTCATGGATTTCATGAGGAAAACAAATAGGGATTTTTGCCTATCCCTACTGACTTGTGATTCTTACAATCCAGGTATTTCTGCTTTTCAAAATAGGGCAACTCAAACACCCATTGCACTGTCTCCAATTGGTCATTCCTCCTCTTTCTTTCTTCTATTAGAGCATGGGGATCCTTGCCACTTCCAGTTCCAAGTTGCTGGAGTGGCGGACCATGGACGTTTCCTCACAAGTGGGTTTTGTACATTAACACTATCTCATAGCCATATGTACTCACTCAATGAGAAGAGGACTATTATCGTTATGCTGCATATTATACACACAATATGTATGGCATGAAATCTATTATGCAAGGTGCTTCCACTGGATGTTTTCTGCCCAGATGGACCACACTTTACATAATCAATGTATACCAAGGGGCTTCCCATGGATTTTTTGCCTGGGCAGCCCACATTTGTTGATTTTATCTATCATTGTTATGCTGCATATTCTACACACAGTATGGCATGAAATTTATTGTGCAAAGCACTTTCACTGGATGTTTCCTGCCCAGATGGATCGCACTTAACATAATCCTTTGTATACCAAGGGGCTTTCCCTGGATGTTTTTGCCTGGGTGGACCTCACTTGGCTATTTTCCTGGATGTTTTGTCCATACAGACTACACTTGTTGATTTTCCAAAATTATGCAAGGCGCTTTCCTTGGATGTTTTCTGCCCGGGCACACTTGGCCTATTCATATATGATCCTCTAGCCACGTATTCTGTTTTTTTCCACCCTAGGTGTCTTTTCTGATTTACTGGGTGAAGAGCATACCTGTTCCAGAAGTAGTGCTATACCCGACAGGTGTGCCTCATATTTTAACTGTGGCACACCTGCTTTTTTTATAGCCGTCGCTCTCCACTTGATTATTTGTTTTTGTGCCTTCACCAGCCCCTTCACCTTTCCAATGTTGGATTCTAGGTATGTGGAAGAAGAGGTAGTACCATTTGAGAAGTTAACATTTACAAACACTGCATATTTATTTCTGAGTGGTACTTACTTCCTCTCACCCACTTCCCACCTTTCCTTCCCATTGATTTGCTAGTGTTTTGGGGTTCATATATGCCAATTCTTGAAAGTGAGGATTGTGCCGCAAGTGTAGAGGGAGCTACCTGCACCAGTATAGAGGGTGCAATGGGATTAGTGGTGGGTGGTCACATGATCAGAACATGTTGCTGCAATGATGCAAAAAGGAATATAAAAGACTGGTGTGCTTTTAAAAAGTTTACCAGTGCCTAGAGGGCAAATGAAGGTTGAGATAGCTATTGGTGAGATGAGGTAAGTAGCTATTGGTAATACATTTTCAGTGTTAAAAAATTTTAACTTCAAAAAAAAGTGCATTTATAGGACATGGGGTATATGTTTAAATGTCAGTTTTAGTGTGTTTTGTAGTTAATAGAGTATGAAAAACCAATTCATTATATTATTTAGTTAACATCAGCCAGTTTTAGCTTGTTCTACGCTTAATTTATAGGAAACAACTTATTATGTATTGGAATTTAAAATAAAATATTATGAATGTATTTTATGGTTAATACAATTTAAAGTCATTTATGAATGTTTGGTGATTAACAACAGTTTCAGTGTGTTTAGTGTTGTTCCATTGTGATTCTACAGTTATGGGACACACTTGACACAATTTTTTATATTGAAAATAATTCATATGGATGAACAGTTATAATTAGTTGGATTTTATTAGCACTTTTAACTGGTTAATTCCAATTAAACAAATTATTATTACAATTATACAACACATTTTAAGTTTCCAAAGTGAAATCTCAAGTTAGCTGTGCTCAACTCGAAACATCATAGGTGGCCACATCACTAGGGCATTAACATTATAAGTAAGTAGTTTAGAGGTTATCTTGGGTTATATTAGTACAGTACTTTTGTGTAATTTATGTGTATTTTATTAATCATCAGGAGTAACTGTGGAAATGCCCTTATCTTATATTTACTTCCTTTTGTGATTTACAATAATGAGCCATAAACAACAAATGTCATGCACCAATGGAGAGTTAGTTGTGATTTTGGCCACAATCGTTTTGGCTGGCACACCTCAATTGCTTGGCATGGAGATGAGGCTTGCCACTGCGATAAATAAAATTTTAGTTTCATTTTGGATCAGTAGAATTCCATGAGTTCCAGATTGTCCTTCGGTTTACCACAGTTTCAATATATTTTGTGATTAATTAACAACAGTTTCAGCATGTTCCATGGTTGACAACAGTTTCAGCATGTTCCATAGTTAACAACAGTTCCAGCATATTTCATGGTTAACAAAACTACAGTATGTTCCATAGCTAATGGCAGTTTCAGTGTTTTCCCTGGTTAACAACAATTTCAAGTATGTTCAATGGTTAAAAAAAGTTTCAGCAAATTTTGTAATTACTGTATCTCTGGTTAATGTGCTTCCAGTTTTGATATGTTGCCTGGTTAACAACAGTTTCAGTGTGTATTTTTATCAATGTTTCTCTGGTAGCAAACTTCCAATAAACAGTTTTATTATGGTGATCTGTACAAGTCACATCCAAAATATTTTCACTACGATTATATGGTTAAAGTTTCCATACGATGATTTATGACAAATTGAAAACAAAGTTCACAGCTAACTGCAATTAATTCACTAATTAGCAGCAAGAGGAGATACCAGTGATAACCAAAAAATCCAAGAGGGAATTGTTACCAGGAGGAGGAGGCTTGAGGCCTTGGCTGAGCAAACAGAAACTAAAAAGGGAAAAGACCTTCTAGAAGAAGGTATTACATTTTCTTTTTCTTAATAAATATATCAAAATTTTATTCCATATTTCGTAGTCAGTTATGCTGTCATATGGTATTCCAAATCAGATTTACTATTATTTTTAACATGGTTGAATTTTTGGTGTGTGCAAAATTCTGCATAGCTGTATACCAGAATAGACCTAGCAAGATGAAGTTGTTCAATAGCCTCTTCTGTTGAAAAGCTTTTCAGAATATTTCACTAGCAAGTTTCATACAACTTTATGTTTCTAACTTAAAACAAGTAATAATTACAGCTATTACAAAATTACATCATGTTTCACAAACCAAAGTGACACAGGGAATGTTTTAAACCAAATTTATTTTCTAAACCACTATTTAGTAATAACTATTATTTATTTCTACCAGCCATAGACCATGTATCTTGACAAGTTTCCACAAATGATCCTGAGGCTGTTGCTCCAGATTGGCTTGATGTGTGGGTTTGGAGCCTGTTAATGTCTTGTGTGTATTTTTCTGCTTCCATTGAGAATGGTGAATGCCTTCGTCTTGAAAATGGTTATTCTTTGGCTCTACATCATATAACAATCTGGTTATATGAATATCCTTCCATAGGCTAAGTCTATGCTGGTGGCATTTCATCGTTGAATGATTAGCAATTTAATATGAACCAAGAATGTGGATGCTAAACACACAGTGCCATGGCTCACAGTGATCTAACACGTCACTGTATTAGCAGAGGCCAATCATTTTTGTGAAATATCTCATTAATCTTATGAATTCCTGCCTCCAGGAACTAATAACAAATTTCACCTGTTTACCAAGTAGTTGCATGAAAATGTTTTGGTCTTTCTTACTAAAATCATTACTTCTAATGGTAAACTGGAGTAGGGTCAAGTAACTTGCTCAAAGTTTCAAAATTTTTGCTAAAGGTGCTGGACTATAAATAATATGACCTTGCCATCCTTCAAAGAAGGTTGTTTTATTGGAAATTGTAATGTTAGACAATAATGTGTGATTATAACCATTAAATTATGATGGAGAAAATAGTTTTAAGGCCAATGCCAAGCCTGAAACATTGTTATTAAAAATTGCAATTAACCCTCATTATATCTGCAAATGAGAAGATTGTGTGACATTATATCACAATACCACAGATGATAATCTTTCTTTACTGGCCCTATACTATGGGTTCCTAGAAAGAAGAATCTTTTAACATTGCAATAACACATCTATGACTATGAGGCCTTTCTCTTAATACCAGAGCTTATTAGCTTGGCTGAGAATGCAACACCCAATCTTGGTGGAAATGCTAGATATATAAGTTATTTATATTACACCAGTTATTATGGTCTTATGCAAGTGAAATGTGAGCTATTCATCAATAGTTTGTGTGAAATATTAACAAGCAGATCATGGTTTGCCAACATCAGGTACTATATACCATAATAACTGATATAATGGAACATTTAGTTTCTTTGATTTTAGTAGATGTAGAAAATATACAGTAAACAAGAACCAGAACTATGATATTAGTTCTTATTATTTGGAAACAAATACTAAAAAGGGTTAAATGTAAAATAAAAAAGTATTCATTAATAATTTCCAAAGTAAATGTTGTAATAAGTCTCTATATAGATGTGTTACCTTATAATTAGTTTCTTGTGTAAAATATTGTCTTATGCTTTCTCATGTGAAGAATTTTGAACACTGGGTATGTAAGTGTCATTCTGATGTCCAGTGCTAGTGTAACATTGTACATTATAGTTTAAAGTGTAGTACAAGTAGCTACTGACCATAGTTAAAAAGTAAAAAGAGCAACAGTTCAAGAGTAATTTCTTATTTCACTTGTGGATTAATTTTTGGGAATCTCCAGATTTTTGTTGTCATAATAATACTAAAGAAAACTATTTCAAATTAATATTTAACAGCAATTTAAAATGTATTTTGAAGAGAAACTCTGTCAGATTTATTACACTGTATTGAAATATGATCCAGGTTTATTATACAACTGAAATAAGACGATCTTGATATTCTTTCTCTACATTTTAAGTGATATTTAGTTCTGAAGCAAAAATGGAGACTGGTTTTGGAAATGGAGATTACTTTGCATGTTGAAAATAATAATATTAATTCATAATTAAATAAACACATGAAAAAAAGTGTTTGGATTATACCTGAAAACATAAATGGTGTTTCATCATGTTTTTAGTTGGTACATTCCTGAAAATCCTGAAAAGATTATGATGTAGAAAACTAAAACGCTTTCATGAAAACATTGTTATCCAGAAATATATGTTTGAAATATCAGCAAATACAGTTACTACTTTGGGCAAGTACTTTAAATTCTGTATCACAGTCATCATCTTATTAACTCACTAAAAACAGGAAGTTAAATTTGAAAATGCAACTGTAGCTACATTCCCAACTCTGAATACATACTAATGTTTAAATATAGATCTCTTTTTCTAGCATTTTCAACATTTTACTGGACACCCTATTGAATATTGTCACATTGTGATAGGTAGTGTTAAAATGTGCACATTGTTTTGTTGTTAATGTCCCTGGTGTGCATGTCACTCACTTATGTAATATATATCTGTATGTAGTCATGGCCATAATTGTATTCAAGATCTAGATTTTGGTGATGTCAAACTACTGAGTACGATATGGAATGGTGTGAAATAATTAACCAGAATAACTGAAGGTGAAGCAGGAAAATTGCCCTAACAATAACTGAACATAAAATTAAAACCATGAAAGTGACAGATGGGACTTTAGAAAGTGGAGTACAATTAGAACGAGTCAGAGAATTCTGAAAAAGTGATCTTTCACAGAATGGAAATTGTGAAAACGAAATTGCAAAGTGTTTGGGAAAAGCCAACTCAACTTTCCAAAAGTTAAAAGTTATATGTAAGTGTAAAGGTTTAAGTGAAGAGATGAAAATCAGATTATATCAAGCAATAGTATTAACTACTCTTCTGTATGATGCAGAAACGTAGCCATTGACATTTGTTGTGGAAGATCTTGAGTTTCAGATAGCTATTCTCAGAATGGACAACTGCAAAAGAGCAATCCATGTAATTAAATGGATTCAAAATGGAAAAGAAGACTACCAAGAAGGAACTGATAGATGACTATATTTTGAGGTCCTAAAAGGCTCCAGTATCACAAGGGATGAAATATATCAGAACCAAGATGGAACCGATAGATGACTATATTTTGAGGTCCTAAAAGGCTCCAGTACCACAAGGGATGAAATATATCAGAAAGCCACAAATTGGGCTGAATGGAGTCACTATAGTTTGCAATGTGTCAAAAGACATTGGATGGACTAACTAATAAGTTAGGCTAAAATATTGGCTTTAGAATGATATAGGAAAGCAACAGTTTCATTATTTACAGTATCTTCAAACTGGCATTGTGTAGGTTATTGATTGTGTAATACTGTGTAATAGCTCTTGATCTCAGTTCAGTACTATGTAATAACTATTGATCTCAGTTCGGTACTGTGTAATAACTCTTGATTTCAGTTCAGTACTGTGTAATAACTCTTGATATCAGTTCAGAACTGTGTAATAACTTTGGATCTCATTTCAGTACTGTATAATAACTCTAGATATAAGTTCAGTATTATGTAATAACTCTAGATCTTTGTTCAGTACTGTGTAATAACACTAGATCTTTGTTCAGTACTGTGTAATAACACTAGATCTTAGTTCAGTACTATGTAATAACTCTAGATCTTAGTTTAGTACTATTTAATAACTGTAGATCTTAGTTCAGTACTATGTAATAACTTTGGATCTTATTTTGGTACTATCTAATAACTCTTGATCTCAGTTCAGTACTGTGTAATAACTTTGGATCTTATTTCAGTATTATGTAATAACTCTAGATCTTAGTTCAGTATTATGTAATAACTCTAGATCTTATTTCACTATTATGTAATAACTCTAGATCTTAGTTCAGTACTGTGTAATAACTCTAGATCTTAGTTCAGTACTGTGTAACAACTTTGTATCTTATTTCATTAGTGTGTGTTGATAATAAGAGTTTAAGAAAAACAACTTTTTGTATTACTTTTAGTTAATAATTATCAGGTAAACTTAGTACACATGGCTCATCGATTGTTATGTCATTTTCATAGTTAGGATTAAATTACTGTGCTTCACAGATACTATATGTATATATATATATATACTACCTTCAGTATCCTAAAAATGCACACTTTAGTATTAACTCAACAAACTTTCCAACAGTTTTAATTTATATGTATAAATATATTGTTGTTGCAGTTCATTCTATAAATTTTCCACTGTTCAAGACTTCATCACATCACTTCTAGAATTCTCTGTAGCTACCAATATAAATAAAAAAAAAATTAAAACATAGTTTTCAACAATATTTTAATGAAATTTTTGCTGAAAATATGGCTTTCTCTGGGTTGGAAAAGCAAAATTAAGAAAACAATAGTTTCACAAATATTTTGGCTTATGATACATGCAATTTTTCTTATCTTTGAAAATTTTATGTACTTGATTTGTATGTATAAAATTACAGCACTAGTTCAGAAATGGAGAACACTGATGAGTACTATAGCTTACAATCAGAACTCAAAGCACTGCTTACCGACTCTTCTTCCCTAGGATATAATGCTGAATTTCACATCAAATTAAATCTTGTAAAATTTTCAATTATCATCCCTGAAGTAAAAGTTTTTTAATTTAATATTTCAAATAAATATATCAACCATACATCTCAATCCTTAGAGCAAAAATTTAAAGAAAGTTCAAGTGTAATTGATTTAATGACACAATATGTTTTACACAGGCTTTTATGGCACTTTTGAACTCGGCCAAACTAATCCTGTATTGTCTTTCCTTGATCTTTTGAGGCAATAACATATAGAGCTGGGTGATTAGTGATATTTGCTAATCAATTAGTCAACAGCCCCACTAAATAATTGCATTAAATTAATCAATCAATTAATCAAATAAAAAAAGTTAGAGTAGGAGCTGCCAGCCAGTTGTCTTCCTTATAGTCAGTAGTTGGTAGACTTGTATGAATTCTTGTGCTTCTTGTAATTCAGATGGTAAGATCGAGATGATTTTAGATCTTAGAAAACAGTTAATTCCATTTTGATAAGTTCTCTTTTGTTCTTGGTCAATTATACTAACCCTGTACAAAACAAATGTGATTTTTCTTCTACTGAACTCAAATTCATGTTAAATTTAAAAATCTAGATCTGCCTAATTGTGTTCTGATGATTGAACCCATAAATGGAAAATTACTGTATAGACACAAGCCTTTCTTTCAAAGTTACGATGCAGTTAATTTCATATATAATAAAAAGCTTTTCTCTAAAGAACTTCATTATTGTTTTGAAGTTGTTATATAATATTTATTTTGTTTATTATGCACGTTAGTCTTGTTAATGGGTAAGCCAACAATAATACAATTTTATAAGTGTAAGATATTCAGTAAGTATTGTATTCAGGTAACTCAGTTAGAAGATGTATATTTGAAGTTTGTCTTCTAGTTCAGCAGTTCTCAATCTATGATTGGTGGTCTGTGGAAGGGTTGTGTACTTATGGAAAAGAAGCAGCAGCATAATGTATAGATCCCATTTTGGTTTGCCAAGATAAGAAAAAAAACTTATGTGGTCTATAAACAAAACTACCATTCTGTTTTATTTTAAACTTACAAGAGAAACTGTTCTTAATGCAGTAGAAAGAGACTTTTCTTTAATAACCATCAATTATTTGTAGCTGAAAAAGACCAAGCAGAACCAGAGATTCCTCTAGTCCCCACTAATCCTGAGGAAGTTGCTCGTCGAGAAGAAGAAATGATAAAAAAGAGACAAGAACAAAAAGAAAAGGATATGGCAGAATGTTTTGGTTTTGATGTAAGTTTTTTGTTGTTGTTTTTTACTTTTGAAGGATGTTTTAAACTGCTTCAAAAAATTTATTTATTTTCTTTGGTAAAGTTTTATTTGCCAATTTTTTAACTCCATAATCGTTGAAATTTGATCCGAATGTATAAGTAAAACAAAGAAGTAACAACATATGAAAGACTGAACATTTGCAGTTGCCATAAAGACTTTACATTCCAAAACTAGAAAAAGAAAAAGATTCATCATGATTATAAATACAGTTATGGCCAGAAACAGAAATCTGAATCATATGAGTAGAAATGACAATGTAAGTCACGAGTTTTAAGATGGATACCTAAGACGTGATCAGGCTGGCACCTGGATCATGTGGTCAGAAACTTGTACCTAAGCTGTGTGGTCAGAGAGCCATTTTTAAGCCATGTGGTCAGAAACAATAAAAATATATATGAAGTCAATCTATCATTTATTTCACCACTCATGACTGAGTTATAGCACTACAAGAAGCCTTGTCTTTGTTTTTTTTTTTAGTTTGGCCTTTGTCCAGAGTTACTGATGGAGGATGGAATTCCCCAAAACTGGTATAACTCAGTGACTAGTGGTAAATTGTATGATAGATTTGGCTTGATATGTATTTTTAGTATCTGAAACAGCTTATCTGCTGAATAAGTTAGTACTTACATATTCTTCAAATCCTCTACAAGCCTAAGTTCACTGTGGTGAGTAAAAAGGGAAGATAAAACAAAGTAAATTGAATAATGAAATCAGTGACTGGTTAAAAAAGAAAACCTTAATTTTGTGGTAAGAAAGTAATACTTAATCTGTTTGGTTAGATAGGAATACCTGAACCTTGTGATCAGAGAGAGGAACCTAAACATATGCTCAAAGAGCAATATTTGAATTGTGTGATCACAGAGGAACACCTGAGCCATATGATTGTATTTAACTACCTGATGTGTTTGGTTAGAAAAGAATAAATGAACCATGTGCCTAGCAAGAAATACCTAAAGTGGTGGTTAACCATGTGGTCAACAAGTAATACCTGATGTATAGGATAAATATCTGAACCACGTCATTCTGGGGAATACCTGATGTGGGTGGTTAGACATTGATATCTAAAACCATTATTTAAATACTGAAATATATATAAAAACTAAAAACATAATTACTGTGAAAGAAATAAGATTAAACAAACTCATAAGTAGGAATACAACATCTAGGAATGATTTAAAATTTTGTTAGTCAGCCCATAAAATCTCTAATTTATAGTTTTTTCCCCCTATAATAAAAATCTGTAGCTTCTACTACTAGTTGGAAACAAAATATTAATTATAAAGATATTTTCTTATTAAGTCAAGATAATTTTCTGAGTTGAAGCAATCACAAATGAACTTAATACTTGTGATTCTCATAATTCTTAGGATAACGAAGATGAGGATACGATACTAGCTATGCCTGCTGCTCCAGGAACTAAAGGACTACAGTCAATGTCAATGAATGGGCCTACCAGCATGGAGACTACAGCCCAACTGTTGACATCTTTACAACACAATGGAATGGAAGATAATCAAACATAGACTGGTAACGTTTGAGCCAGTTTCCAAGACTTGTAGTACCTGCTGTTTTGTGATGTTAAAGATTACTTTGTATCCTTGTATTTGTGAATAAACTTGGAAGGCATTATCTAGAACATTTTCGTTAGAAATGATATTTGGATTGTATAAACTTGTGTAGCCATAATTCTATACGTTCGATGAAATTATTGTGATTGTAACTGTTTTAGTCATTTGGTTTAGTGCTTGCCAAGAAATTACTGGATATGATAGAAACTATCTTGCACCTTTAAGCTCAAATGATTGTTTAAAAATGAATTTTTTCAAGAGTAATATTTGTAGGTATTGTGAAAATTTATATTATTATTGCTGTTTATCCCATTAATTTGATTGGGATCTGATCTATACTAGTGTAGTCATATATTGTGCTGTGGTATGGGATTTGAAAACCAAATTTATTGAAATCTAGAGTTTCAATTCTAAAGCTACTAAATTTGTTTTTCCAATGATTGATGGGAAACATATGAGAACAGTGTTGTTTTATTTACTATCATTGTTTTTAAAGTAAATCAAGTTCTGTAGTATTCTAGAGTTGTTGTTTTTTTTTTCAACACGGATGTTGAAATTGTAGCAGTTAGTCCTGCTCCTGACATGCATTGTAGGACAGGCACTTGTCAATGCACGTGCATCAAAAAATAAAGTCATTGTGAATTCATGTGTTTTTTGTCTTATATTTTAATTGAGACTTACATAAGTGGAAAGTTAAAAATTAGTGTCCACTTGTAGGTAATGCAGTGTACATATATTCAATAGAAGTAACAGTTTGTAGCTCAGTTGTTTGTTTCATGTTGGCTAAATATATTACGTCAGATTGAAAGTTAATGTCTGTCTGTATATGTGTTTCCTAGTATACCAAAACAATTTTTAATTTTATGCTGGAGTCTCATTTTACAGTTTAAATATACTGCAAAAAATAAATTGTTATATCTTATGCAGAAACAAATTTTCTTAAAGCGTATGAAAAAAATAGTAATATTAATTAAATGAATCTTCCAGCTTGAGGATTATGTCAGACTTTTACTGGCTGTATATTTCACTCATAGCTAATTAGGGCTAAATGGTAGTGGTAGGATGCTCAGACACTTTTCTGCACCCGATAGGTGTTAACACCACTGGTCAGGTGGGTGCCAGAAGTTGATTATTGAAAGAGTTTTAGGTGCTTTGTGTAATGTATCAAAATAGAAGATAAAGAATTAGAACAGTACAGGAGTTTATTTATATAGGAAGCATGGAAAAATAAACATGGCAAAGGATAGGAATGGTAAAACCTAACATTCTTCAATCTCGAAGAACCTCTCAGAAGATGTGGAAAACAAGAATTATATGAACAGCCCTACTCTAAAAGAAGAAAAGATGGACAGTCCACTGAAACTAAACAATTGTTATAAAAATTTGAAATGTGATGTTATACATGAATGATGACTGGGCTACATATAAAAAAAATTAATGAAGTACTGGAAGGTGTAAAGACAAAAAGATAACTGCTTGACATATGTAGGAAGTGGAAAATACACTGTTTTAGGCATATAATTAGATCTTTGCAAGGCAGAAATTCTTATGACTAAAATTGAAGGAAGAAAAGTGAGAGCCAAACACAGACTCAATTGGTTCAATGACATTACAAAATGGATTGGATATGACAAGTTTGAATTATGCAAGTTGGTGTAGGCAGCGAAGAATGGAGAGCAGTGGGGAGCCATAGTCATGGATCAACAGAATTGGAGAAAACACCATAATTAATTGATATTCCACTCATAAGCTGATGGTAATGGTGTCTGTAAGCTATATCTGGAGTGTACTGGCTGTATGAGACTATATATGTATATTCCACTCTTCATGTAGTGGTGTGTGAAGAATTAACTTCGAATTTTTGAGTTATTTGGTGTCACCAAGTTCTTCTTAAGGCAGACTTTTTGTTCTATTGAGAACAAAAAATTTGCAATATACTTTATATAAGCAAGGAGAAACTAAACAAATATGTATTGTTGCATTGAGTTATTGTTATTACAACTTACTGTACCCAGCACCAAATCACAAATTCGTGTTTGTTATTATTGTCAACTGTTGGATAACTTACTTTACCTAGCATCAGACCACAAACTCCTGTTTGTTATTACAAGTAACTGGTAGGTAACTTATTCTGCCAGTAATATATGTTAAGTCGTTCTTTAGTGAAACATTAAATCCATTATTTTTTATTATTATCTGTTGTTAGCGTGAGAAAAATTCATGTAATTTTATTTCAAAATATTGTAAAGATACAAGATGGGGACAATAAAAATACCAGTTATAAAAACAGTACGTAACTGCTAAACGAAAAAGGTAATTGTTTTGGTTTATACAGTTAAAAACCATTGTGACAAATACTCAAAAATTAGTTTGTGGGGTCTATCTATTGTCGTGCTTTGAGATCAGTTTGTACCATGTTGCTTGGCTGTGAAATTGACATTGTATTCCTAATTCCTTAAACATGCACGTGCTCTGTTCAATGAACAGTGGTATAGGCATAATGTCACACTGACAATTTTGTTTACGTACAATACCATCGCGTTGCCCCTCGAAGTGGATCCCTGTACGTAGTGAGGGGACATCCCAGGGATGTGAACATCCACCCACGTGTTTGCCGTGTGTGGCATTCCATGAAAGGGAGGAGAGACTCCTGGTGTTTAATGGATGTCATTGATGGGTCAGTTTATATTAATAGCAGTTCTCACCCTGTTCTCTTAGACATTCAGAAACGACTGACTCAGTTTTCTCTGTCATCCATTTTTATCCACTTTTTCTGGAAACCTTTGTCTTTATTCTAGGGAATGAGCATGCTGACACTGCAGCTAAGTCTGTTTACTCTGGTGCTATCACAATCGTGTCCCATATATGGACTATGGTCCTGTGATCAAAGCACGGCTCCGTGCCAGTTGGCAGTCGAATTGGGGTGAGCAACTTCATAACAAGCTTTTCCAGATCAAACCTACTGTTGTTTTTTGGCCGTCTAGTTTCTGTGAGGATCAACGGGAGGAAGTTGTCTTGGCTAGACTAAGCATTGGTCACAGTTTTTTAATCCATCGTTTTCTTTTATGTGGAACTTATCCGGCAATGTTTGGCCTTTGTGACACTCAGGTCAAAACTGCCCAGGGTTTGCTTTCGTGCCGTCGTTACGAATGTGAGCGACGGCTCCATTTTAGACATGTATTTTCTAAAGTTTTACCCCTAATATTGGACGGTGTCATTTACGATGATGATTGTCCAGCTTGATTGTGTTTTTAGCTTTTTGCAGGCCATTGGCCTTTTTATTTCTATTTAGATTTTTACCTAATTTTTGGGCATTATCTCGTTTTTAACTTTTTTTCTTTTTACATTTTGTTGTATTTTACTTGCAGCTTTTTTATTGGTTGTTTGGCGCAGATAGCCTAGATGCATTACGCCAAGCCAAACAGACAAAGAACCGTCGCTTTTGTGCATCAGAGCTTATTGAAACGACATCTTACCGTTATAAAGAATCAGTAGTAACGTATTACAATTACAAAGCTTGACATTATATGGCATGTCCAAAGTATTCTTACTAGGTTGGGGTATCTGTGGCAACGAGCACAAAAATTAGATAAATATAACGAGTTTTACAGGTGTAAATAGATTAAAGTACTAATAGGATAATCTTCAAGACGCATATTATTTAGGTGATTACCATTGTTTGTTTGTTTTCCATGGTTCGACCTTTACCTGTTAATCGTAGGATTTAAGGTTTGCGACTTATTGCTTCAAAAACGCGCTCTGCCCGTTATGGCTGCGGACGCGCTATGATTATTGCTCAAATTCTGCTATTTGCTCAAGAAATGAACATTTAACCTTCGCCCTAGTCTATCTGTTCCAAATTAGGGACAGCTTCGCGCAGATAGCCCTTCCTGTTGCTTTGTACGAAACACGTGTGGGTAAAAGTCGGATGTAGCTTTTATAATGTGTTCAAACAAACGAAGTGCCTTTTTCTTGTACTTTGTGTTTTCGTGCGCCCTGTTCTTGCCTTTGTAGTATAGTCCTTATGATTATCATGAACCATAACAATGTATACAGAGCGCATGCAGCGTTTCGCAATAACGGCAATGGTACATATGTAACCTCCGAGGGTTCAGTTTTCGACCTAAATTGGCTGAAAATACTTGCACCACAACACAGAAAGTCCGTATGTACAAGAAAAAAGCATTTAGTTTGTCTGAACACATTTTAAAAGCTACCTCCGACTTTTACCAATTGCGATACAAAACTTCTGGAACAAACCAACCGACTTTTACGACCGACATTCATTTGTCACATTTAAACTTTTACCTTCGACATCCCTAATCTGTCGTTTTGGTTGCGATTAATTTATGCCTAGTTTTTATATGTATGTATGTTTCTTTAAGTTGTTGATAAAATTATAAATTTCCAAGGTCATACTTAGTAATGTGGACTCTTCAGTAGCTTCTAATTATTTGAAAGATGTTGTCTGAAAGTCACAAACCACCGCCCACTACTCGTGAATCGGTTGTTATCATCAACCGAAACAAGGCTATTGATCAACATACCACCATTGATACTGGAAGTTTTGTTTCAGTGATATTGTGTTAATATCAAAAAGACCAAAAAAAAGTTCGTATCAGTGTTCTGATTATAGATATTGACTAAAAATAAGTCGTTTTAACAGAATTAAATATAATTTTACATGGAGGACAAAAGTTTTCCTTATCTTTGTATACATAAAACTAGAGAGAAGAAAACTGTACTCAAGTAAACAGTGAGTTTGGTTACTTGACAAAACAGTGAATCAATAATAAACAAAAACTAAAAAAGGTTGTATATTTCGCAAGTAGAGGTATGTATGTATAGTAGCTATCTCACTGTTGAAGAATCAGCCTGGGGTCTGGAACGTCTTTCTTGTAAAGTGTAGTTAACCTCAGTATATTTTGGGTTACGAGGAACTTCTGCAATGCCACTGTGTATAGACTTAATGACTAGATAATATGTCATGCCTTTCTAAGAAGGATATTTGCATAAAAAGAATCTTTAATGATGTTCTCCATGAAAGTGGAAAAGTCGCACTGCAGTTTCTAAAACATGAATAAGTTTCAGAACTATAAACTTAGTTAATCTGAAGTAACACTTTTATTCAACAAGTGAAAGCTGTGTTTATGGAAAGAGAACTTTTAAGTTATAAAACACTACTGCGGTGGAGCTGGGCATATCTCCAGGTACCATTAAAAATATAATAAATAAAGATTTGTAGTAAATGAAGACTCGCATGCCAAAAGTTTTTAAGTTTACACCTACAATCTAAAACAGTGGTTGTTTTTCTGAGTTAACCATAAAACTGGGATACAACAATACTATTTGACCGCATATCTTTCAAGTCACCTAATGCAGCGCTAATAGCCTTTTGTATATTTATTTCGTTTAAACTAAGCCGGTGTCCACCTACAATGAAGAGATTGTAGAAAGTTTTTCAGGGTGTGTATATGCTCTAAGATCGACTTTGCCATCCTTGTTGAAACTTGCTAAAATAGAAATTATGGTTTTCAGAAATAGTGCATAATTCTGGACATTAAGTGGAAAACAAATGATGATAGAGTTATTAGTTCCGAAAACAACAAGGAACCTGAAAATTATTGTTATAAAGTGTGATTAAAT